CGATCGTCTTCCAATTTCAAAAAAATGCTTCCAATCTGGATTCCCAGTTGCTTTTTTTATTTTCCATACATTCAAAAACTAGTTATGGGCTCTTCATATTCATGATTTCATACCATGGAAGTTATTAAATGCAAAGATTATTGGAGAAAAGGGAAATTCGACGTTTTTCATCAAAGTACATCGTATTTTCGCTATGATATATTAAAAAGGTGGCTGAATGATTCATGTAGGACTACATCGAGATGATTCCTACGTCATGCCTTCAAAAGCGATTCATGGTTCTTTTTCTTTAGTTCTCCGGCACATTTTTTAAATTTTTTTATGAAACTTTTCAACCTGAACCTTTACATAGTATGGAACAGGAACCAAGTACGTTGCTCATTTCGAACTTTGTTTACGAATGACTTGATATCCTCGAAATATTATGGATGATTACAAGAGAATGTATCATGTAAGGCTAGGCTTAGTAAATGGATATTTTGAGGAAACGGAAAGAGCTTAGGGTTAAAATACTTATCAGAAATGGAAAAATAGCTGAATTATTCAGGACCTGCCAGAATGGAATGAATAGTTGGAACATGTGAAGCCCGTCTAGAGTCTGACAAGGACATAGGAACATCCCACATCAGAGAAACCATGAATGAACTGATTCCCAGATCCCTGATCGGCATTTGACTTGGTTTTCAGCGACTGACGCTTGCGAGATTCGCGTCTGTTGAGGAAAAAATGCGTTTTTTCGAATCGATTCGAAGGGTCAACTTCCACAGCTTCTCGCAGACAATTCCTCAGGGGAAAGGGGTCAGCCTCTTCTAGTTTGAAATCCAACCTCAAAAGTTAGGAACAGTATCCCTTCCCAAAATAATTCCCCTCTGTGATTTTAGAGCAGTCAAAAAGCATTCTAAAAGCGAGAACCTTCATTTTCCTTTTCAAATACATGCAGAATGGGTAATGTGCTTCCTCCCAGTTGCCATTTTCCTTCTTTTTCCAATTTCTCATTTTCTTGATTCTATTTATCAGCGTTTTTACAGGAGGTCCGTCTATCGACGGAATTCACGAACACTTCGCCGTCTAAGCCGCAACTATGACTGGGAAGTGGATGAACACGGCGGTTTACGACCTATCATCAATCCAGCCAAGGTTAGTCCCGAATGACTGGCATTTTTCTTTGAGTCGCTATGAAGGTCCTAAATCTCTAATGGTTTCAGGTGGAACGAGCGACAAAGGAATGCGCTAATGATTCCTATATACTTAGCGCTATCATGCATAACTATAATAGGCACAAAATTCCAGGTGGCCAGGTAAAGCTCTACCCAATTTGGGTTTCCCGTGTTGACCACCTTTCAAAAAATATACTTTATATCGGTTTATACAGGTTGAGGTGAAAGTTGAAGTCTGGGTCCAGGAGATCACCACGATTTCCGACATCACTAGTGATTTTCAAGTAGGTTCTTCTCTTGTGTATCTTGGTTAATCCAAATTCAATAGATCGTTCTTTCCCCTAAAGTTCTGG